ACTCATGGAGTGCTTTAGAATGCTAAAGTGTCTTATTCTCATAACAAACTTGTAATGTAGGTTCCAATATTAAACCAATCTTATAAATAAGACAGAAGAAGTTAAATGATCTGTCCAAGGCCAGAGCCAGTTTTAAATTCACCTCTGCTCTTGTAGACTTTCTATATTTTCCTTGTGTTGTCTTTTTTTCTTTTGTGAGGGTCTCACTATGCAGCTTGGACTCATAGTGATTTGCATGTGTTCACCCTCTCAAAGAGCTGCGATTATAGGCATGTGCTTTTTCAGTGTGCCCGGGGACGGGTCTATATTTTCCTAACTATGTATTTAAGATAGTTTCTATCTACTCTTCAAATTCTTAATTCTCTATGGAAATATAAAAGCCAGCCACTAAATTCTTTTTATTTATTTATATTTTGGCACTAGGGATTGAACTCAGGACCTTGTGCTTGCCAGGCAGGCTCTTATGCTGCTGAGCTATCTCCTTGGCTTAAATTCATAATTTTAGTATTATAGTACTAAATTTCAAAGGTTCTACTTTATTTTTATTTTTTACTTTATTTTATTTTTTTTTGCGGAACCAGGAGTTGAACTCAGGCCCTTGTGCTTGCTACTGAGCCATCTCCTTGGCCCCAAAGTTTCTACTTTAGAACAGTCTGCCCCAACACCAAAAAGCAAGACAAAAGAAAACCCCCAAATCCAAAAACCTTGATGTGCACTCTTTGTAGTTTTCAATTTCCTACTGTTATCTTCAAGGCTAGTCTTCCTTCTTTCCTTTTTTATTTTTTTGAGACAGGATCTTGCTATGTCTTTTAGGCTGGCCTTGAACTTGGGACAGTCCTCTTGCCTCAGTCTCCTGAGTGCTGGGATTCCAGGTGTGTGTCACCATACTAAGCTTGAGTTGTTTTTACTTAAACACAGTGAATACAGTTGTTTCAGAGCCAATGCCAAGAATTCTGATACCTGGAGTAATGGTGTATCTGTGTTCTGCTCTTGGATTTTCCTGCTGTTTTTGTGTATTTGCTTATGTTTGGTGATGTGCTAACCTCTATACTTGAAAATTTGAATTGCAGTTTAGGTTACTATAATCTTGTTCTAGAACTTTATGGCTATTTGATAGCCTATCAATCTGGAACTATTACAGGATCAACTGAAGGTTAAGAATTCTTTGGATTATTTTGGTGGGTGAAAAGATATGGCTATCTTGTGTAGAGGGGGTCTTCCAATAAATTACCTACTTTACATGGGTCCTGGCTTTCAATGTCTGTTCACACAATCCAGCAAATGAAATCCAAATGCCAACTGACGTGTGCCACAGTGGACAAATGCTCCCAGGGACAGTAGACTTCCTGGGCCGAGAGGTTTTGAGCTTCCTTACTTCACTAAGCTCTTAATTTTCTTTTTGGTTTACTTACCATCTTACTTCATTATTAATACACCCTCAGCGCTTTCAAGATCTGAACAGTTTTTACCCAACATTTTCAGCAGTTTTAAGCAGGAGGACTGGTCCAAAAAATTATTTCATCAATTATTAAAAACTTTTTTTGGGCTGGGCCAAATAGCTCAGTGCATTAAAGTGCCTGCAAAAAGGCGCAGGGGCTGGGGGTTTGATCCCTGGGCCTGCTGTGCTGGCCCCGCCCCTGGGGTGTATTATATTTATTATATTGTCAGTGACAATCTGGCAATTGAGACTGGGTGTGGTGGCACATGCCCATAATCCCAGCTCTTGGGAAGCTGTAACCAGGCAGATTACTACGAGTCTGATCTAGCAGTGAGACTTTGAACACCCTGTAGACCCTTCCCTAAAATACAAAAAAACCCAAACAACAACAAAAAAACCAGAAAATCTTTTTTCTAATA